GGGATATATGTAATATATATGTGATGTATGTGTGTGTGTGTGTGTATATATATATATATGGGAATTTAAGTATTAACTCACATGATCATAAGGTCCCACAACAGGCCTTCTGCAAGCTGAGGAGCAAGAAGAGCCAGTCGGAGTTCAAAAACTGAAGAACTTGGAGTCCAAAGTTCAAGGGCAGGAAGCATCCAGCATGAGAGAAAGATGTAGGCTGGGAGGCTGGGCCAGTCTAGTCTATTCACATTTTTCTGCCTGCTTTATATTCTAGCCACACTGGCAGCCGATTAGATTGTGCCCACCCAGATTGAGGGTGAGTCTGCCTTTCCCAGCCCACTGACTCAGATGTGAATCTCCTTTGGCAACACCCTCACAGACATACCCAGGATCAGTACTTTGCATCCTTCAATCCAATCAAGTTGACACTCAGTATCAACTGTCACACATATGTAAGTGAGATCATGTGGTATTTGTCTTTCTGTGTGTGGCTTATTACACCTAACATCATGTCTTCTGATCTCTTTTTTTTTTTTTCTTTTTGAGACTTGTTCCCCAGGCTAGACTGCAATGGCATGATCTCGGCTCACTGTAACCTCTGCCTCCCAGGTTCAAGCGATTATCCTACCTCAGCCTACTAAGTAGCTGGGATTATAGGCACCCGCCACCACAGCTAATTTTTTTGTATTTTTAGTAGTGACAGAGTTTCACCATGTTGGTCAGGCTGGTCTCGAACTCCTGACCTCAGGTGATCCACCTGCCTCTGCCTCCCAAAGTGCTGGGGATTACAGGCGTGAGCCACTGCGTCCTGCCCATGTCTTCTGATGTCATCCATGTTGTTGTTAATGAAAGAATTTCTTTCCTTTTTTAAGGCTAAAATTCCATTGTGGATATGTTACATTTTCTTTATTCGTTCATCTATTGATGGACACTTAGATTGATTCCATAATTTGGCTAGTGTAAATAGTGCTGCAGTGAAAATGGGAGTGCAGACATCTCTTTGACATACTGATTTCAAATCTTTTGGGTAAATACCCAGAAGTGAGAATGCTGGATCACTATTTTTAAAATTTTATTTTATTTATTTTATTTTATTTTACTTTATTTTATTTTATTTTTTTGAGACCGGGTCTTGCTCTGTCACCCAGGCTGGAGTGCAGTGGCATGATCTCGGCCCATTGCAACCTCCGCCTCCTGGGTTCAAGCAATTCTCCTGCCTCAGCCTCCTGAGTAGCTGGGACTGCAGAAATGCACCACCACACCCAGCTAATTCTTTTTTTTTTTTTTTTTTTTTTTTGTATTTTTTTTAGTAGAGACGGGGTTTCGCCATGTTAGTCAGGCTGGTCTCAAACTTCTGACCTCAAGTGATCCGCCTGCTTCGGCCTCCAAAAGTGCTAGGATTACAGGTATAAGCCATCATGCCCAACCTGGATCACGATTTTAAATAAGAAGTGTTGGCAGGGATGTGGAGAAACTAGAATCCTCATATATATTATTGGTGGAAATGTATAAACAGTACAACCATTTTGGAGAACAATCTAGCAGTTTCAGTAAAAAGTTAAAACTGGCTGGGCACAGTGGCTCGCACCTGTAATCCTAGCACTTTGGGAGGCTGAAGCAGGAGGTTTGCTTGAGTCCAGGAATTCAGACCAACCTGGGAAACATATGAAGACCCCATCTCTACAAATTTTTTTTTTTTTTTTTGTGACGAAGTCTTGCTCTGTCACCAGGCTGGAGTGCCGTGGCATGATCTTGGCTCTCTGCAACCCCTGCCTCCTGGGTTCAAGCGATTCTCCTGCCTCAGGCTCCTGAGTAGCTGGGATTACGGGTGTACACCATGCCCAACTAATTTTTGTATTTTTAGTAGAGACAGGATTTCACCATGTTGGCCAGGATGGTCTCTATCTCTTGACCTCGTGATCCACCCACCTCGGCCTCCCAAAGTGCTGGGATTACAGGCATGTGCCACTGCACCTGGCCAAAAAAAATTGTTTTAAATTAGCCAGGCATGGTGGTGAGTCCTGTAGTCCCAGGTAGGATGTTCACTTGAGTCCGGGAGGTCAAGACTGGAATAAGCCATGATAGCAACCCTGCACTCCAGCCTGAGTGATAAAGTATGGCCCTGTCTGAAAGAAAAAAAAAAAAAAAAGTTTAACATAAATCAACCATAGTCTCTTGTAGGAATATATCAACTGTTTATTTATTCATTCTATTACTGATGTACATTTGTATTGCTTCCAGGGTTTTTGGCTGTTATGAATAATGCTGCTATGAACACATTAGGGTTTGTTTTTTTTTTTGTGCCATAGAACCTAGCAATTCCACTCCTAGGGATCTACCCAAGACAAACAAAAACATTAGTCCACACAAAGACATGTATGTTTGTTCGTAGTAGCTCTTTTCATAATAATCTAACACTGGAAATAATCCAAATATACATTAACTGGTGAATGGATAAATAAAATGTGGTATATCCATACAATGGGATGTCATTCAGTAATCAGAAGAGATGAAGTATTGATACATGTGGAAACACGAGTGGACCTTGGAAGCAGTGTGCTAAGTGGGAGAAACCAGACATAACAGACTGCATTGTATGAGTCCATTTTTTTTTTAAATTTTAATTATTTTTTTTTTTTTTGAGACAGAAGCTCACTGTCATCCAGGGTGGAGTGCAGTGGCATGATCTCAGCTAACTGCAACTTCTACCTCCTGGGTTCCAGCGATTTTCGTGCCTCAGCCTCCCAAGTAGCTGGGATTATAGGAACCCACCACCATGCCTGGCTAATTTTTGTATTTTTAGTAGAGATGGGGTTTCACCATGTTGGCCAGGCTGGTCTTGAACTCCTGACCTCGTGATTCACCCACCTCGGCCTCTCAAAGTGCTGGGATTACAGGCGTGAGCCACTGCGCCTGTCTGTATGAGTCCATTTATATAAAACGTCCACAGAAAGGCAAATTTCTAGTGACAGAAAACAAAACAGTTGTTGTTTAGTGCTGGGAGTGGGAGCAAGGATTAACTGTAAATCAGCACAAGAAAACTTTTTGGGGTGATGGAAATATTCTAAAACTGGATTATGGTATTAGTTACATAATTCTAGAAATGCACTAAAATCTTTGAAATGTACAGTGCCAATGGGTGAATATATAGTACAGAAATTACATCCCAGTAAGTTGTTTTTTTTAAAGCATAGACTCTTATATTTAAACAATATTTGTATCTTTTATTTAGCTACTCAGTCACTACAGGAACAATACATTTTTTTGGGGGTGGAGAGCATGACAACATTTAAATTTTTAAGAAGTAACCCAAAGGAAAACATTCTAAAGAAATCTTTCAGTTTCTTCCCTGAGACCTCTTAGTTTTTTACTCTCCTTGGTTTATTCATTAAAGCCCTGTCTTCTGAAGATGTGCAGTGACCTCTGAGTCATCAATCACTTAGAGGTAAAGAGGTCCCAGGTGTACTTTTAGAATAATGGGTTCAATTCCAAAGTAACACACGAAGGGAGGACCTATTATCTAGATCCAGGTCATCAGTAGGCTAGACCTTCCTGTCCTGCATTCAAAGTGAGTATCTGGAATTACTTGAAACTCCAAGATTAGGTTGTTAAACAACATGGTAAGACCAATAGCCAAATGTAAGTTAGGTGTAAGACTGAGGGCTTCAGACGTCAACAATACCAAACCATGATAGTCACCACTGTCATCAAGTGGGCTCTCTCCAGATGTATCAACAGTACACCTGGAAATTCATCATTTTCCATAATTTTCTACAATAATATACTGGTCCCTAGCAACAGTTACAGTCACCATATAGATGATTAAAAGACACTAAATCTTTTTATTTTAAAATGCAGTTTTTATCAACATACAACAGACACAGAAAAGCAAGCATATCATAAGTGCTCAATGAATTTTCAAAGGTAACATCCCTTCTATAACACCAACAAGTGTGAGAAATAGATCACCATCACCCTGGAAGCCCCTCCAAGCCCCTCCCAGCTACGACACTTACTCTCTTCCTCAAAGATAACTGCTATTCTGACTCTTCACACCATACATTTGTTGCCCAGTTCTGAACTTCATATAAATGGAATCAACCATACTCTATGCACTCATTTTTGTCTGGTTTGTTTTACACTGTACATAAATCAACCATAGTCTCTTGTAGGAATATATCAACTGTTTATTTATTCATTCTATTATTGATGTACATTTGTATTGCTTCCAGGGTTTTTGGCTGTTATGAATAATGCTGCTATGAACACTTTAGGGTTTGTTTTTTTTTGTGCATATCTGTGGACGTTTCTGTTGAGAATATATCTGGAAGTGGATGTTGGCTGCTAGGGTATGTGTATGGTTAGCTTTAGTATACATCATTTTATTTTTGCCAAAATCTAGAAAGCCACTTGAAGTGACGTAAGCATAAACATACCTAAATGGAGAAATTTCCTAAATGTAAACACACATTCATTCCTCATCAGAACTGACCCAAGCAAACACTGTCACAGGCAGGACAACTGAGTATCAGTCACGAAGTTAGTGGAGTGTGATGTCTCACCAACAACAATTCGGAAGCCGTCACCTCTGTGGGGTTCGGGCCTTGGGAAGTGAGCCCCACATGAACTTCCTGGCACTCCTGCCAGCTCCCTTTAGTGGAGTGTGGATGAACAAGGCTCATAGCCCTGCCTCTGCTTTGATACAAAGGAAAACCTTAGGTGTGTTCAATTTCCCCCTAAGGTCTGGAAATCAATTTATCTTTTTTCCTTCTTTTTCTTTTCTTTTCTTTTCTTTCCTTTTTTTTTTTTAAGACAACGTCTGTCACCCAGGCTGGAGTGCAGTGGTGCATTCTTGGCTCACTGCAGCCTCAACCTCCTGAGTTCAAGTGATCCTCCCACATCAGCCTCCCGAGTAGCTGGGACAAGAGGCATGTGCCACCACGCCTGGCTGATTTTTGTATTATTATTATTATTATTATTATTTATAGAGTCAGGGTTTCACTATGTTGTCCCGGCTGGTCTCAAACTCCTGTGCTCAAGGGATCCACCTGCCTCGGCCTCCCGAAGTGCTGGAATTTTACAACTTATTTTTCTTTAAAAAACAAAAAAGCCGGGTGTAATTATTAGCACACAATACCAGGCTGAGTCTCTCAGTTCCTGAAGGACACTTGTCTGCTGCTTTTGGGAACTTGGTGGTACTTTCCTTCCGGGCAGGGCTAAAAGCTCTTGCCTGTGACTGGTTCTTCCTGGTGGCTGTGGGCTCATAATCTACCTCATGTCAGAATCCACCTCTGATGGGATTTGAAGCCAGGGCACCTGGATTCAGCTCACAATGCTTCTAGTAGAATATTTTCATGGCCCAGGCTAATCTGAATAATCCAGTGTTTGTCCCCAGTGAAACTTTCCAGGGAGTTTCTCCAACTGTTTCACTTCATGGTCTCTGAACTGGGTGTCCACTTGGGTTTCAGGAAGACTTTCTGTGAACACGAGGATCCCTTTGGCTTGCCACCTATCTGTGGAAGTTGAAGCGTTAGTCAGAATTCCAACCTCAGAGGCTTTTACACCTTAATGGGACAGGCTGCAGAGAGGGCTCTATCTTGTTTTCTTTTAAATTCTCTTTAAATTTTGATTCCTTCTGTAGCTGCTTGTTCTCTTCCATGTCTCTGGGGCATTTGTTAGTATGCAGAAGAAACAGCTTCTTGAATAATGTCCATTATAGCTTTGTATTTAAATAACAAACAAAGACTTCCTCCCTCTGCCTTCCCCTCCCCTCCCCTTTCCTCCCCTTCCCTTCCCTTCCCGTCTCACAGGGCTTGCTCTGTTGCCCAGGCTGTAGTACACTGGTGTGATCATAGCTCACTGCAGCCTAGAGCTCCTAGACTCATGCAATCCTCCTGCCTCAGCCTCCCAAGTAGCTGGAACTACAGGCACGCACCACCACGCCCAGCTAATTTTTAAATTTTATTTTTTTTATAGACAGGATGTCTTGCTATGTTGCCCAGGCTGGTATTGAACTCCTAGCCTCAAACAATCTTCCTGCCTCTGCCTTCTAAAGTTCTGGGATTACAAACATGAACCACTGCACCAGGCCTATTTTATTTCTTTTCTATCATACTTCAAGGCTGCACATAGAGCAGCTGCAATGCTAGCTTTTAGCACTGGAGAAATTACCATATGCTCCTTACTTTCTGGTTTTGCTTGCTTTAAAAGTTGCTACAACTTTTGACATTCTTATTTGCTGGTGGTAGAGAAGAACTTATATTCTCCAAGCTCAGATGTGCTTCCTGAATTTGGCCCTACTTTTCACGTTTTTATAAACCATTGACAGGTACTAAAACTACTCGGGGCATGACTCGTGAAAAACTTGTCATTTGTCACATGGCAAATATTCACTACAAACAGATACAGAACAACCAATCACCTACTTGCTTAGGTTTAAAATAGAAAGAAATTATTTTGGATTCTATATTTTGGGATAACTTAACGTTTTACAAGTATTACTTATTGCAGGCTGGGCGCAGTGTCTCATGCCTGTAATCCTACCACTTTCGGAGGCCAAGGCAGGTGAATCACTTGAGTTCAGGAGTTCAAGACCAGCCTGGGCAATATAGCAAAACCTGATCTTTACAAAAAATACAAAAATTAGCCAGGCGTGGTGGTGTGTGCCTATAGTCCCAGCAACTTGGGAGGCTGAGGGAGGATCGTTTGAGCCTGGGAGACGAAGGCTGTGGTGAGCTGATATCGTGCCACTGCACTCCAGCCTGGGCGACAGAACGAGACCCTGTCTCAAAAAAAGGAGTATTGTTTATTGATTGTATAAGATGCGATACAATGAATACAAATCACTCAGCATTAGGAGGCTAATTAGGCAATATGAGGGGGAATGGCTTCATCAAGAGACCAATTTTCTCAGATTTTAGGTCAGTTTCGGGATATGTTTGGGATGACCCTTATATGGGTGACTTAGGTAGCTTTTTGATTGTTGTTACCAGTTTTCATTCATTCATTTTTTTTAAAAATAGCTGTATTGAGATAGAATTCACATACTTTATAATTCACCCATTTAAAGGATACAATTCAATAGTTTTTAGTATTTTCACTGATACATGCAATCATCACCACAGTCAATTTTAAAACATTTCATCACTTCAAAAGAGAAACCTTTTGATGGGTACAGCACACCAACATGGCACATGTATACATATGTAACCTACACGTTGTGCACGTGTACCCTAGAACTTGAAGTATAATTAAAAAAAAAAAAAGGAAGAAAAGCATCCTGGCCCAACATTATGCACTTCCCTCTTTTACTTGTTGAATCCTAAAGAAACAAATGTCTCCTGTTCCTTTGTTTAAATGAAATGCCAAAACCATTACCCTTTCTCCTTTTTCACACTCTTCTGCCAGTTCTTAAAAAGTGACCATGAAAATGAGCACAATTATTTTTCCACACACAGGAGAAGACCACAAAGCTCATCCTAATAGTTGTCTCGTTTGTCAGTTATTTAAGTCACCCAAAGTACTTTCAGCATAACCTGAATTTCACCAAGCATGTCACCTCAGACAAGCCATCACAATGGTCCTTTTAGTTTTTGTCTCATATAGTCAACAACAAAACATTTAAAATATGACAAGAAGATAACATTAGGTAGAGTAAAAATAACATATAAAGCTTCAATTTCCTTTTGGCTGGGCGAGGTGGCTCACGCCTGTAATTCCAGCACTTTAGGAGGCTGAGGCAGGTGGACCACCTGAGGTCAGGAGTTCGAGACCAGCCTCACCAACATGACGAGACCCCATCTCTACTAAACATATAAAAAATTAGCTGGGCATGGTGGTGGGTGCCTGTAATCCCAGCTACTCGGGAGGCTGAGGCAGGAGAACTGCTTGAACCAGGGAGGCAGAGGTTACAGTGAGCTGAGATTGTGCCACTGCACTCCAGCCTGGGCAAGAAGAGCAAAACTCCATCTCAAACAAACAAAACCCCCCAAAACTTCAAGATAGCTTCTAGATAGCCAAGGCTGACCTAGTTGTTATTGGAGAACAAGCTCTTCAAAATTCTGATCCAAATAAAAGAAAACATTATTTTGTATTAGCCAAAGAAGTACACTGATTTAACCACATTGGCAGTGACATCCAAGCTCACAATAGGTTTTTGCTTTTGCATCTTCTCCAGGAAGGACAGATATTCAGCTCTCATTTGGAATCAGCCTGCGAAGAATTCCTATCAAGGTTCTCACTTGTCCTACTGCAGACACCTTTGGGGCCTATGCCCTAATTATTTCTCTCTTTTTCAAGGACCATCCCCCAGTGCAAGCGGGAAGCCAACCAGGGAACACAGTTGAGCCTATAATACAAACATCGAGGAGCTAGGATAGACAGACACATTTGGCCATAAGGACTGGGGAGCAGAGAAAGTTGATCTGTAGTGGGACATGAAATGAAACAGCTGTGGTTGGAGGAACAGAGATGAGCAGCTGAGAGACCTGTTAGCTAGATATTAGGATGGTGCAAAAGTCATAGACGATTTTGCCACTAAAAGTAATGGCAAAATCTGCAATGACCTTTGCACCAACCTAACAGTTACTTGTTCGTTTGTATTTCTGATCCCAGCTGCCTTCCTGACATGGGTTGCATGAGAGACGCTTGCGTCTTTGAAACAACAACAAGAATAATACTTATATAATCACGTAACACTTGTTGAATCCTTCCTACGCACCATTTGCTGGTCTAAGTATTTTGCTCGTTTCATCCTCACAACAGCCCTGTGACATAACTACCATTTTCATCACCATTTGATAGCTGAGGATACTGAAGTGCATGTGATTGATAACTTGCTCAACTCTCACAGGGGCCCCATGGGGACCAGTATCCGGGTCCCCAGGGCTCTGTGGGTGGCATCCAGGAGAGGTGGCCTTGTCAGAGGATGCTGAGGGAGAAGCAGGGACCACAGAGCTGTGTATTAGCCTGAGGGAGGTCCCCAGAGGTGGAACAAGGGCATGCCTCCAGGTAAATGAGCATTCCTCAAGTAAGCGTTAGTGTCACTGTTCTGTCCTCACTGCCACCCACTGTCCTCCCCATCAGTGGGCTGGAAAGGACAGGTCTGGAGCCAGAGAAGGGGTTTGTGGTTATAGCCTCTCCCTGCAGCAGGCCCAGGTGAGGGCCTCCTGGCCTGGGCCCTCGGGGTAGTGATGCTGTCCCTCCTGCCACAGCCTTTGCAAAGTTGTCCCCTCTCACCCGACAACTCTGAAGGCAGGCCTGAGCAGGTGGAGCGGCAGCCGAGGCGGGCGGCTGTCAGTTGCTGCAGGCGGCTCTGGGGAACAGTGCTGGGCATTCCTTCTTCCACAGAGCTGAGTGTGGTTGATTCCACCGAGGATGGCCAGGCAGCCTCATCATACCGGAAGGGGTGGTTGGAAATTTAGTGTCGAGCTGTCCAGGGCCATGAAGGTGGCAGTGGCCACACATTGAAAAGCTGAGGTGCCCTGGGGAAGAACAAACAGACAACTCACTAATCCACTTAAAACCCTGAGCTAGGCCAGGTGCAGTGGCTCACGCCTGGAATCCCAGCACTTTGGGAGACCGAGGTGGGTGGATCAGTTGAGGTCAGGAGTTTGAGACCAGCCTGGCCAACATGGAGAAACCCTGTCTCTACTGAAAACACAAAAATTAGCCAGGCATGGTGGGGCACTCCTGTAATACCAGCTACTCGGGAGGCTGAGGCAGGAGAATCACTTGAACTTGGGAGGTGAAAGTTGCTGTGAGCCAAGATTGCACCACTGCACTCCAGCCTGGGCAACAAAGTGAGACTCTGTCTCAGAAAAACCAAATCAAAACAAAACCCTGAGCTGAAACCAACGCAGACTTACATTTCAAATAGTACGGAAACTGGCATGGGGCCAGGTTTGCCAGGCCACCTGCATAGTCTGTTTGCATGGGCCGGCTTGGCCCTGAGGTCTTCAGGTGGGTGACTATCTTGAGAATGGGCTGAGGACATCCTGAGACTTGCCTGGAAGGACCTGGCTGGGGACACGGACCACCCCGAGAGTCAGCCCCAGGGTCCTCCTCCCCCAGGGATGACCCAGCCTGTTTGCTTTTCTGAGTCAGTTTCCCTGTGACCGTCCCTTTTCCCTCTGCTCTGGGGGTGCAGTAGCCAGCCTTCTCTCTTCACAGCTGCCATCAGCCTCTGGTCTCTTGGGGACCGCTCCGCTCCACACCCAGAGCTGCCTGAGGAAGAGATTTGAGGCCCTTGCCCCTACTACCTTCTGTCCTGGACCAGATGCATCAGGCAGAACCATGTGCAATGCTGATATGTGACCACTTTGACCTATGAAAATGACTTTCCCATACGTCAATTTGGATATAGTCTTTTTTCTTTTCTTTCTTATTTATTTATTTATTTACTTATTTATTTATTTTTTATGAGACAGTGTCTCGCTCTGCCACCCAGGCTGGAGCGCAGTGGTGTGATCCGGGTTCATTGCAATTTCTGCCTCCCAGGTTCAAGTAATTCTCCTGCCTCAGCCCCCCAAGTAGCTGAGACTACAGGCGCACACCACCACACCTGATTAATTTTTCTATTTTTGGTAGAGACAGGGTTTTGCCATGTTGCCCAGGCTGGTCTCGATTTCCTGAGCTCAAGCGATCTACCTGCCTCAGCCTCCCAAAGTGCTGGGATTACAGGCGTGAGTCACCGTGCCTGGCCTGGATATAGTCTTTTTTGTTTGAAATATCTTCCTACTAATTGTGATAGGAAAATAAACAGAAAGAAACAAAAATAAAAATAGTGGGCACACAGACTCTCTAGAGATGGTAAAGCATATTTTTTTTCTGTCTGGGCCTGCCTTTTCTGGGCCCTTTTATTAACAGGGAACTTTGTGGCTGGGCACGGTGGCTCATGCCTGTAATCTCAGCACTTTGGGAGGCGGAGGTGTGCAGATCACCTGAGGTCACGAGTTTAAGACCAGCCTGGCCAACATGGTGAAACCCCGTCTCTACTAAAAACACAAAACTTAGCTGGGTGTGGTGGCACACACCTGTAATCTCACTTACTTGGGAGGCTGAGGCAGGAGAATCGCTTGAACCCAGGAGGCAGAGGTTGCAGTGAGCCGAGAGCATGCCATTGCACTCCAGCCTGGGTGACAAGAGTGAAATTCCATCTCAAAAAAAAAAAAAAAAAAAAAAAAAAAATCGCATGATCATCTTGATAGATGCAGAAAAAGCATTAGACAAAATCCAGCACCCCTTTATGATTAAAACTCTCAGAAAAATCAGCATACGAGGGACATACCTCAATGTAATAAAGGCCATCCACAGCCCACATAGTACTGAACGGGAAAAAAGTTGAAAGCATTCCCTCTGAGAACTGGAACAAGACAAGGATGCCCACCCTCACCACCCCTCTTCAACATTGTAATGGAAGTCCTAGCCAGAGCAATCAGACAAGAGAAAGAAATAAAGGGCAGTCTGGGTGCGGTAGCTCACGCCAGTGATCCCAGCACTTTGGGAGGCCAAGGTAGGCGGATCACGAGGTCAGGAATTTGAGACCTGCCTGACCAACATGGTAAAACCCCTTATCTACTAAAAATACTAAAAATACCAAAATCAAGGGTATTTCTGAAATAGTCTATCGATCCACAGAGAGTGTGGTTGATGTGCTTCATTAGTGCCTTTTTTTTGAGACGGAGTTTTGCTCTTGTCACTGAGGCTGTAGAGCAATGGCGTGATCTTGGCTCACTGCAACCTCCGCCTCCTGGGTTCAAGTGATTCTCCTGCCTCAGCCTCCCCAGTAGCTGGGACTACAGGCACCCACCATCACGCCCAGCTAATTTTTGTATTTTTAGTAGAGACGGGGTTTTGCCATGCTGGTCAGGCTGGTCATGAGCCATTAGTGCCTTTCAATCACTAAGTTATTTGGTTCATGACATTGTCTTGATTAACCCAACAGAAAAAAATCTGATTTAGTCCGACACACGAACTACCACTCATCTCATTGGTGACAAGAAGCTCCTGATAAGGATGGGCTGAAGAGGTGAAAATGAGGGCAAGTTTTGGGATTTAACTTCACTGAAACCATTTTCTTTGAAGGACTGGATATCTGATCTGATGTCGTTTACTTCAGGTCTTTGAACAAATCATTACACAGGTATGTTTGGGAAGGAAGGAGTTAAGTCTGAAAAGTGCTTGATTCAGGATTTGTTTTGGAATCACTTATCTACTGGGTTGCTGACAGCAATAAACATTTTCTAAATACCTAAAGGAAAGAAAGTAGAGTATCACCCAGTGAGAAGGTGGCAGGTGAAACTTGGTTATTTCTTTATATTAGTTCAGCTGAATGTTAGAGTTAAAAAAAAACCCTACAACAAAACAAAACAGATACAAGTTACCTTTTAAATTTGTCATGCATCTGTCACTGGTGTGTGGTCCTTTATAGTCCAAGACGGCCTATGGAACATATTTATTTTGTAAAATAAAGTTCAAAAAGGCAAAGAGATCATCAACTTAGACCAAACATGCAATAACTCCTGTAAATGGATTGTCAGCAGGCATTGACATACATTCTCTATTTTGGCCAGGAAGAGGTGGAGTTATTCTCAAGGTTAAGTAAAGGTCATCTCTCTCTGCCATACTGCCACTCAGCAGTGATGGAAAAGCAAAGCCTGAAGTTGGGTACCGGGAAATTTCACTTGGGAGACGGATGGCCCAGTCTGTCTGTGCACTCAGGTCATCTCGGTTAGTTTTCCCATAATTGTACTAGATTAGCAGTCAAGTGAAATGCCAGATTCATCACTGATAGAATCTCTGTCCTGGGTTGACAGTCCTTTAATTTGTGTGCCTTTGTGGCCAGAGGCCATTATTTCTAATTGCCTTTTTGTCCTGTAGCAGTTCATCTATCTTTCACACACACCAAATTTAATCTTCATGTTAGACAACGATGGGGAATTTGGGCTGAAGTCGTTATCAAATGAGTTTCATAAACTTTAGTAACCTCAGGGGAAAAAAAATCTTAAAAAACTTACCAAAATTTGAAAATAGTAAACAATGGTGGCTTTCTAGTAATTTAAGGTTGTTACAGGATCTCCATATTGATAATTCAAAATATCTGGGTCAATGATTTGACTCCTAAATGTAAGAAAGAAAAGTTTATACTTCTTTTATTGTACCTACAGTTTAATTATAACACATCTGATGATTTCTGATAGGAATGTCTCAATTTTTTTTTCTTCTTCACTCAACAACCATATATATATTGTAGCTGCCCTGAGTTAGGCACTGGGACCCAAGATGAATCAATCAAGTCCCTGTGAAGACAAATGAAACAGCCAAGTCTGCCCCTTTGGACCAGGGTGTGTACCATAGGGTACATTCAGAGAGAAATGGAAGCCCATCTGGGGGTGCGGGTGGGGTTAGGGAACATGCAGTGAGCAGCAGCGAGACCATGGGACAGGCTCTGTGAATACCAGGAGTTTCACCCACTCCACCTGATTCAGCCCTGGGGATAATGGAGAGAGGGGTCTCCATCTAACAGGTGAGGAAACAGAGGATTAGGGGGATTAGGATTAGTTTGGCTCTGTGTCCCCACCCAAATCTCATCTTGTAGCTCCCATAATTCCCATATGTGGGAGAGACCAGTGGGAAATAATTGAATCATGGAGGTGGGTCTTTCCCATGCTGTTCTCATGATAGTGAATTAATCTCATGAGATCTGATGGTTTTAAAAACGGGAGTTTCGATGCACAAGCTCTCTTTCTTCACCTGCTGCCATCCATGTAAGACCTGACTTGCTCCTCCTTGCTTTCCGCCATGATTGTGAGGCTTCCCCAGCCATGTGGAACTGTAAGTCCACTAACCCCTTTTCCTATACAAATAAAGGCTCAGGTATGTCTTTATCAACAGCATGAAAACTAACTATTACAGGGGGTGAACACTCCCATGGCCTCACACAGCAAGAAGGAAACGATGGGAATACTTGAGACCCAGTGTCCAGATCTGTGAGTTGAGTTGGTCCAGCTGAGCTGGGGTGATGGGAAGCGGAACTGCACAAAGGTCCCAGTTGCCCAGATGACCAGGACAGAAAATGCTGAACTGTGAAACTATTTGGGGATTTGTCTCTTTTTTTTTTTTTTATGGAAAGGACTTTTCTGCACATCTGTTCACTTTCCTGCCCACGCCAGCAGCTCAGCGGCCCCATTTTTCGGGTGAACGTTGCAGGCATGGTATAAAACCCATTCCATTTCCCGCATTGACTTTGCACAGGCCCCATGGTCTCTTTTCTCTCAGATTCTTCACATGGCTGTCGTGAAGAGGGGTGGAAGAGAAGTTTACATTCCAACCTTCAGAGACAAGGCAGCCAAATTATGCCAAGGCCCTCTGTCCCTCCATCTGTCCATCCGACTGTCCATCCATTAGAGCCAGGGCAAGCAGCATAGGGCTCTGGGTGGACAGCCCCCAAGATACGCTTTACCTCCACTGCCACTTTCTCTGCCTGGGTTACTCATTCATTGGGCAGGTATTTATCGAGGGCCCTTCTGCCTACCAGGCACTGAGCCAGGCCTTGGGAATGAGCTGACCAAACACGCAGCATCCCTGGCATGGTGTGGCTTGCACAAAAGGGTACATGGGAAATAAGTTGTGAGCACTATTGTGGAGGATAGGCCTAAGGAAGGAAGCTCAGTGTGAAGGGAGAGGGGAAGGAGGGTAGAGGAGGAGGACGGGAGTTCGAGGCAGAAGAAACAGCAGATATGGGCCCTGAGTGGGAGGGGCAGGCCCTTCTGATGACTCAAAAGGAGCCGGGTGTGGCAGGTACTGGCCCACAGCCCTGTATAAGATGCCCAGACACGCTTCCTCTCTTTTTTTTTTTTGAGACGGAGTCTCGCTCTGTCTCCCAGGCTGGAGTGCAGTGGCCGGATCTCAGCTCACTGCAAGCTCCGCCTCCCGGGTTCAGGCCATTCTCCTGCCTCAGCCTCCCGAGTAGCTGGGACTACAGGCGCCCGCCACCTCGCCCGGCTAGTTTTTTGTATTTTTTTAGTAGAGACGGGGTTTCACCGTGTTAGCCAGGATGGTCTCGATCTCCCGACCTCGTGATCCGCCCGTCTCGGCCTCCCAAAGTGCTGGGATTACAGGCTTGAGCCACCGCGCCCGGCCGACACTCTTCCTCTCTTTGAGGTGCTTAGACAAGAGGCCTGTTACAGTCATACTGCTGAGGACAATTACAGAGACTGACATACGTAGATACAGAACCAGGTATGTTTTTGAGTATCACAGATGACAGAGAGAGAAATGATGAGGCACAGTCATGCATCACTGAATAACGGGGATATGGTCTGAGAAATGTGTCATCAGGCGATTTCGTCACTGTGTGAACATCACAGAGTGACCTACACAAACCTAGATGGCATAGCCTCCTCACACCTAGGCTGCATGGTACAACCTCAGGCTCCGAGGCTACAAGCCGACACAGCGTGTTACCGCATGAATGCTGCAGGTAGTGGTGACACAGTGGTGTTTGTGTATCTAAACAAATCTAAAGATAGAAACGGTACAGTAGAGGCACGGTGGCTCACGCCTGTAATCCCAGCACTTGCAGAGGCTGAGGCGGGCGAATCCCTGAGCTCTGGAGTTTCATAATAGCCTGGGTAACACAGCAAAACCCCACCTCTACTAAAAATTAAAAAACAAAAAAAACCCACAAAAAACTAGCTGGGCGTGGTGGCACACACCTAAACTCCCAGCTACTCAGGAGGCTGAGGCAGGAGGATTGCTTGAGCCCAGGAAGTTGAGGCTGCAGTGAGCAGTGATCCCACTGCACTCACGCCTAGGTGACAGAGTGATACCCTGTCTCAAATTATCCAGTCTTAGGTAGTTTTATTTTTTTTTGAGGTGGAGTTTCGCTCTGTCACCCAGGCTGGAGTGCAGTGGTGCAATCTTGGCTCACTGCAAACTCTGCCTCCCGGGTTCAAGCGATTCTCCTGCCTCAGCCTCCTGAGTAGCTGAGATTACAGGCATGCACCACCATGCCCAGCTAATTTTTGTATTATCAGCAGAGACGGGGTTTCACCATGTTGGTCAGGCTGGTCTCGAACTCCTGACATTGTGATCCATCCACTTTGGCCTCCCAAAGTGCTGGGATTACAGGCATAAGCCACCGCGCCTGGCTTTAGGTAGTTCTTTATAGCAACGCGGGAACATGTCCTTAGAGGAGAGAGGCCATGGGAGGTTTGATGTATACTGAAGGGGAGCACCCACAGGATCACTGAGGCAGGCAGTGGGGAGATGCAGCCACAAGCCAAGGAATGCGGCATGAGGCTGGACAAGGCCAGGCAGCGTCCCCCTCCCACCTCTGGAGGGAGCTTGGCCCTGCTGAGGCCTTGATGGCCCTGAAGCTCACCTCAGTCTTGTGACCTCCAGGACAGCGAGATAATCCATTTCCATTGTTTGAAGCCACTAAGTTTGAGGTGATTTGTTACTGCAGCCCCAGGAAATAAATACAATGATGGACAGGAATCGGTGGAGATGAAGCACCAGAGTGGGGACCACCGTGAGGAAAAGTGTAGGGTACAGTAGCGATAACCATTACTCAAGGCCTGATTGTGGCCCAAGCACGGTTTTAAGCATTTTATACACTTCCTGTTTCCCAGTAGCCTATACAATAAGTGATGTTTACAGAGAGGTAATGTAACCTGCCCAAGGTCACACTGGCAGAAGTAGTATAGCTGGGACTTGAACTCAGTTCTAATAGATTCCCAAAACCCATGCTCTTTTTACTTTGCTCCTTGGAGGTTGGCCACTTAAGTGCCATTTATTTACTTATTCACTATTTATTTATTTGAATAAAAATACTGAGTTTTTATTCACTATTTGAATAAAAATACTGAGTTTTGTTAGTATTCCAATTTGCAAATTAGAACTACATACCATTCCTTTACTTAATTTCTTAGCAACAGTGGGACAAGTGGGAATTACTGAGCCACTTTCTGGCATCTGGCTCACTTTTTGTTGCTCTATTCTGGGCCACCACATGCCTTGTTAAAAATGGGGAACTCTTTCAAAGGCAGATGGGGAGAACAAACACAGAGACGCCAGAAGCCTCTGCCACAGGGCGTGTGCCCAACCCCAGCAGTGATGGCTGCTGATCCTGAAACTGGGACAGGTGGACAGAGACCAATACAGTGGGTGTGCAGCACCCATGGAGGAGGGCCTTGAATAGAGAGTTGGTTGAGACACAGTCCGCTGGACACAGAGCTCCAAGCCCTGTGAGCCTTTGGCAGTTTGTGAGGGAGAGGAGAGAGGAGGTGGAACCATGGGCCTCGATAAGGCACAATGGCAGTGACAACAAATACCATAGATTAAAAACCAGTATCCTCTTCCATTTTCTTTGATAGAATAAGCATAAGCAACCCAAAGGAGGGTCAGGAAATCCCACAATAAATGACTCTGAAATGTCTGTTAATAATGAACTGTGGAAAATCAAAGCATATTTAGTTAGATTAGAAAAAATGGAACACCATTACATTTTGTATACTCCAAATTTGGGGAACAATACATAAGGGTACATGGGTAATCCCCAATGTTGGTGTTATAAGGAGTAAATTGATAGAATCCTTTTGGACATCAGTCTGATGTTTTATATTAAGTGTCTTAGTCTGTTTTGTACTAGTATTATTTGTATTAGTCTGTTCTTACACTGCTATAAAGATACTACCTGAGACTGGGTAATTTATAAACAAGAGGTTTAACTGACTCACAGTTCCACATGGCTGGGGAGGCCTCAGGAAACTTACAATAATGGCAGAAGGTGAAGGGGAAGCAAGGCATATCTTACATACCGGCAGGAGAAAGAGATAGAGTGCAGGGGAAACTACCACATTTAAACCATCAGATCTCGTGAGGACTCCCTCACTAGCAAGAGAACAGCTTTGGGGAAACCACCCCCATGATCCAGTCACCTCCCACCAGGACCCTCCCTCAACATGTTTTACAATCCGAGATGAGATTTAGATGGGGACACAGAGCTGAACCATATCAACATTCAAGCTCTTTGACCCTGTAGTAATTCCAGTACAAGAAGCCTAGCCCAAGGACACAATTTCATAAAGTTTAACCACAAAAGATGTTTGTTGTACTCACTGTTTAATATAGGGGAAAACAGGAGACAATGAAAGTGGCTAGTATCTGGGAGCCATACATCAACAACTGTAACACTTCTGCCTTTTTGGGGTAGCAGTGAGGAAGCCACTTCTGCCACTGTCTTCCCTATATTCTTTTTTTTTTTTTTTTTTGAGATGGAGTTTCACTCTTGTTGCCCAGACTGGAGTGCAATGGAGCGATCTCGGCTCACTGCAACCTCCACCTCCCGGGTTCAAGTGATTCTCCTGCCTCAGCCTCCCGAGTAGCTGGAATTACAGGAGCCCGCCACCATGCCCAGCTAATTTTTGTATTTTTAGTAGAGACAGGGTTTCTCCATGTTCGTCAGGCTGGTCTCGAACCCCTGACCTCAGGTGATCCACCTGCCTCGGCTTCCCAAATTGGTGAGATTACAGGTGTGAGCCATCACGCCCAGCCCCCTATATTCTTTACACCCTTGGGAAGAGCTGTGACTTATCCGATGGGTGAAAATGAGCCAAGAGTGACTGCATGGGGTTGTCTGCTGTCCGCCTGGCCCTGCCACCTCCTGAGCATGCAGCTGGTCAGGCCCCGTCTCTAGGTCTGCAGGCCCAGTCCTCCTTACATCAGTCCCCAAGTCTAGATTTAGGGAAGAAAGCATGATTTTGGCTTTAGGCTTATGCAGCACTTGAAAATCTGGCTCCATCAGTAATAAGGCAGATGCTGTATTTTAATTCTTGTCAGGTGCGTAAGTCCTTCACAGAAGGGTGGTGAGGAGTGAGTGATTGAACTTTCCCCAGGATATGCCCACTCATGGTGCATTCACTGAGAACATTCAAAAGAGGTTGCCTTAGAAACCAAAGTATCACATGGAGAGATGGGCCTCTTGGGGCAGCCGCAGCAGCTGACGCAGGCTGACTCACAACCGCTTCTAATATGCCAGGCTTTGTGTAAACAGGCTTTATGACACAAGTGGGCTGATTACAGTGCAAATGGAGTGTGACATCTGAGTCACTGTGAGGCTCTAGCTGGCTTCTTCCAGCCCTGGCCATAGGGTCCCCTGTGACTGTAACCTACACAAGCAGAGCTTGGGCATGCTGGATTTGCAGAAATAACCTTAGGCAGGTATTGAATTATTGGACGATATTTTCCCCTGCATTATGTGAAAATATGAATCTTGGTGCACAAATGTACTTGTTCAAGAATTGTATTTTCCACAGTGCCATCATTTCTGACTCTGCGACTCCTTTGGTCCCTAATTGAGATTTCCATTGCATTTCTGACCTCTGAGACTTAAGTGGTGATAAGGCATACAGAGGAAAAGAATATCTGGTCCTTAGTCATAGGTCCAGATAGGTAATCGCTGAAACATCCACTGTGCTTGTCCATGTGGCCCTGTTCAGATTTAGTGGCTATCTCAATGTGCAGTTCTTTGAAAACTAAACTCTGTTATGACAAGCCATTGACATTTTAGGGTTTTTATTTATTTATTTATTTATTTATTTAACCACGGAATGACAAACTCTCCTGAGTAGAAAAGGTGGGATAAGTACATTTCTTCCCACCCCAAAGTAGTAAATAGCACCACCATTAACCTAATTGTGTTAAACTGAGTGAGACCCATGAAAACTGCCACAGCCTGACCTGTACCCCAGCAAGATGAATCAAGAAGAATCTCTGTTTCCTCTTCCGTTTTCTGTCTTCCTTTCCCCATGTCCCATCAAGTCTGTTCTAGTTACTGGCTGGTGGGTCTGTACTATGCAATGTACTGGGTTCCAGGACTATTGCTGTAGGAGTTGATTTATTTGAGTTTTCAAAGTTCTATGTGGATGGGACTGTTAATATGACATTTTTGTATATCCTACTGAATCTTTAAAAAAGTGAGAGATGCAAGAAATTTTGGGTTGGGTCAATGTGCTTAAGGATGACTCCCATTCTTATGACAGCCTAGGCAGCAGCTTCTCGAGGAAACCCAGGCATCTGATTGAGATCATTTTAACTAAAACAGGGCAGGTCAAGAAATTAGGGAGAGCAGAATTTTGGATTTAAATTATGTAGGCTTTTCATCAGGTGATTTCATACTTGGGCTTTTACTTCTCCCTGGGAGTTGAATCACTGGAGGATGTTTTGTTAGTATATGGAAATTTTTGTATTATTGACACTTTCTATTTGGAGTATTTTAAGCTATTATTGGGGCTCATTGCAAAACAGTATCTTTCAAACTTTTTTCTTAAATTAGGACATGCATTATACATCATGGCAGAAGCGCCATTTTTACAAAAAAAAAAACCACAACTCACAGCCTGGGCAACATAGGGAGACCCTGTCACAACAAAATAAATAAATAAATAAAAGATTAGCTAGGCATAGTGGTGCATGCCTCTGGTCATGGCTACTCAGGAGGTTAAGATGGGAGGATTGCTTCAGCCTGGGAGTTCAAGGTGCAGTGAGCCATGATGGCACCACTGCATTCCAGCTTGGGCAACAGGGTAAGACCCTGTCTCAAAAAAACCAAAAACAAAAAACATCTCAGCTGGAGTTCTGAAAGCAGAGGCTGGGACACAGGCTTGTGTGCAGGCAGTTTACTGGGAAAGTGACCACAGAGAGCAGGGCAAAGTAGCAGAGGGTACAAAACACAGCAGACAGACAAGCACGTGGGCTGAGTCCACCACCATCGTGGCAACTGCAGCTCAATCCCACGAGACCTTCTGAGGAGCTCATGGAATGCAGCGCAGAACTGTCTCCTTGGGGCTGAAAGGCAGATGTGTACATCCACTGACACTTGTCCCAGGTTGGGCTCCAGGCTGGTCCCATGGGTGTTAACCCCCTCTCCTTCCAGAGTGTACTATAAGGGGTACCTACGTGGATTTGGTTAAATTCGCATGAACTGTTTGGGGCATCAGTGGCTGGAGTAAGAGGTGAACAGAGAGGGTCTGAAGTGGTTGCAAGAGATGTTCAGTCAAAATATTTACCCTTACCGAGTGCAATGCACTGACATATTCTACTCTAGTTCATCACACACACACTAGTGGAGGCCCACTAACCAGTGGTCCCCAAAGTCCGGGGGTCCCAAGACCATATTTCGGGGGCCTATGAGGTCAAAACTATTTTCCTACTACTGCTGAGATGTTTTTGTCTTTTTCATCCTTGTTCTCTCATGAGTATACAGTGGAGCTTTCCAGAGGCTTTGTGACAGGCACTAATGTCACAGACTGAATGCACACGCAGATATGAGAACCGGCTGTGTTCCATGAAGCCAGACATTAAAGAGACTTGCAGAAATGTAAAACAATTCTACTTATCTCACTGAAGTTTTTTGTTTTACAAAATATAATTATTTCTCACAAATATGTTTATGCTAAATTTGTCTTTTTAGAATCAGCTTAGTATTACAACAATGATTTGGGCGAAATGTTTCTGTAACAGAAATTTTGTTTCTAATTATGTGATATGAATTAATTTTATAACTAAAAGGTAATGGATTATTTATAAACAATTACTTAAAAATTTTCTATTTTAATTTTAAAATATATCTATATACACAAAAGGTCTTTGGGGCTCTCACTCTTTACAAGAATAAAGGGGTCCTAAGATTTTAAAAAAAGGTAGAGAATTGCTGCACTAAACTGATCATGACCCTCAAAAACACTGCTGCCCATAGTTTGCAAAACATTGGTGTTCCTTTCATGACCTGTGAGGACAGAGTGGTTGGAAACCAGAACGAAAAGTTAATTTCAGGCTTAATGTGCAGTAAAACACTAGAGTCCATGAAGGTTCTATTCTGACCCATTTCAAACCTGTCTCAGGTCCATCACCGGTCCTAGGGGAAGACAAGGGAATACCGCTGACATGAGCAGGAGTCTCACAAAGATGGGAGGGAACTGCTCGGATAACTGCTGGCTTTCTCTTTCAAAGCTTACAGCTACTGCTCTGCTTGACTAAAACTCAGTTAAGTCTAGTCACATAAGGGAGTCCAATCATGTAAGGGAGTCATTCTCGACCCTGGCTGCATATTGGAAGCATCTGGGAGATGTTAAAAAATTACCCCGATGGGCTCTACTCCAGACCAATTAATCAACATTTTCTGGAGGTGGGCATTGGTACTAGTACTGTTTTTCCCCCCCCTTTTTATTGAGGTGTAACTTGCATCAGAAGCAGAAATCTTAATAATTTAATGATTTTTAAAAAACATGTATTACCTCCATGTAACCATAACCACCACCCAGATCAAGAGGTAGGGCATTTTCAATTCACCAGCAGGCTCCTTCATGCCTCCTCCCAGTTAATACTCTTCTCCAAAGGTAACCATTATTCTAATATTTGCCACCATAGATTAGTTTTTGCTGATTTTGCACTTCAAATAAAGGGAATCACACAGTAGTTTATTCTTTTGTGTCTGGCTTTTTTTTGCCCAATGTTATGGCCATATTAATTCATATTATTAGGTAGCGAAGTAATGCATTCTTGTTTGCATGGCTGTGTAGTGTTCCACTGTAGAAACAGACCATGATTTATTTACCATTCTATACTTGCTGGATTTGGCTGGTTCCCTCACACTGCTTTTCTTTTTTTTGAGACGGTTGCCAAGGCTGGAGTGCAGTGACACGATCTCGGGTCACTGCAACCTCTGCCTCCCAGGCTCAAGCAATTCTCCTGCCTCAGCCTCCTGAGTACCTGGGATTACAGACGCCTGCCAACACGCCTAATTTTTGTATTTTTAATAGAGTTGGGGTTTTGCCATGTTGGCCAGGCTGGTCTCCAACACCTGACCTCAGTGATCCACCTGCCTCAACCTCCCTAAGTGCTCGGATTACAGGTGTGAACCACTACGTCCAGTCCCCTCATACTGCTCTTAAGTGTGGTGACATGCTCTCACCATAATAAAACAGGAACTGAGACAAACTAGGGAACAGGAAAAGCAGATTCATGTTATCTATCTCATGCTTACTGGGTAAGGATATGGTTATTGTCCCCTTCCCAGCTCCTCCTCTGAATCTATTCTCCATTCACCAGTTAGAATGACTTAAAAAACAGAAATCAGGCTATGTCACTCTTTTCCTTCAAGACTCCCAACAGCTTGATCCCAAAGTGCCTCAAACTCATCACACTTATATTTAAGTCCACACTTCCTACACTGACCTACAAAGCCTTTCACAATCTGAGCCCGGTCTCTCCAGGCTAACCTGGGACCACATTCTCTCGTTTGGTATGCTCTAAGGCCAATGCCAGTCTTCTCTCTGTTCTTAGGACACACCAAGCTCCTTCCCACCTTATGGTCTTTGCCTCACCTGCTTTATACTTAGATCCCAACAGCCTCTCTCTGAGAGGCCTTCCTTGACCACCCAGTGTGAACTAGTCATCCCTTTGCATTCTAGAATACATTATCTTAATTCTCTGCATAGCACTCATCAAATCACATTTCCTTATTTATTTGCTTAGTCACCTCACCATGCCTCTAAAAATGTAAGCTCTTTGAGAAAGAATCTTACCATTACTTCATCACCAGTGCCTAGAAAAATACCTGGTACACAATGAGTCCTCAACAAATATTTGTGTCTTAGACATAAATCTGATGGCACAAGTACTAAATGTACCCTCCCCCAAAACTAAGGATTTGAATTCTGGGCCCCTCAGGATAAACAGGAGGAAGGACACCATTGCCCTTTGCAAATTACAATATAAATGCCTCTCTGGAGGAACTTCTTGATTATACTGACACTGATTTTTTTTTAAAGTCTGCTATATGGTAATGCAATATTGGATTTATCCTGTTCATTAACAATTAATACTTCAGAACATTTACAATATTCATTGAATATAATCTAAGAGAAGGTCAACTGACATTTTTTACTTCTCTATTAATAAGAGAGATGGTCAAATTAATTTATGGCCAAAATTATAATGGCAAAAATGTATAAATAAATACGTGCTTGGTGTTAGTATGGTTACATACAGTTCAGTTTTTGGTGTAAAGTTCTTTGGCTGCAAGAAAGAACATGTGGTTTACTTCACTAATAGAAATATCTCTTAATGCTGGAATGGCCTCCTCTTGGTATTTCTTCTGCTGTTGATTTTTAGCATAGTTATCTGTAAGAAAAGACCAAAAAGTTCTGTTTACCCAAGCAATTTCTTCTACAGTCTCTGTGTCTGATGGAGACCCACCACATAGTTTACTAGGCCGATGTTTGGATAGTGACAAACATCATGTTTAACATAATTAAATGATAAATCCTGTCTTTAGAAGAAATGTCCCTATTAAAATAAAAACATAATTGGTAAAGTATTTTTTTCATCTCTAACTTGGAAAGAAATTAGTATTTTAATCAACTGTACAATGATGATTAAAGTCTCATTTGCACATTTCTCATGGGAACAGAATTATATCCAGGCCTTGAAAATGTATTTAAATCAACACCACAAAACTATTAAATCATTTGGTATAAATATTCATGCAAACTTAACAATTTCCCCTCTTTGCACAAATTATCTATTTGCTGCCAATTCCAATTAAGAATGCATGGAATGCAGTGTATTAGAAAGACATTTAAAAATAATAGAATTGATTTTCGAAATAAATTGTAGAGGCTAATAAAGGTTTTGAAAAGTTGAAAAATCATACCAGGGAACTTAAAAAATACCTTACTTTCTAGAATTTAACCAAGCTCAGGAGTCTGATTTATTTTCATCTTTAGACTTGAAAGAACTTAAAAAAAAAATAAAACCAGAAGAATGTGTTGTGGCTCTTTTATCCACCTAATTGGAATAAGGAGTACACAACGATCCTGAGGAGGATACACACCCCCAAAGTCCTTTTTCTGAACAAGGTCTGCATGTACTATTTGCTATCTCTTGATCAACAGTGTCTGTTCAGGATAAAAGAAGTTTCTCTCAGGCAAAGTTAATGGGAACATATTATAGACACATATAGTATATACTTGTCATTTTATAGGAACATACGCCTGCTAACCAGTGTTATAATTCATTATAATTTATTTCCTCCATGAATATAGCTAGTGCATATTCATCAGAACTTAATTCCTTCATGCAAATATTTCCTTTTGTATAAGTTTGTATTTATTTCTGTTAGTAGCTTCTTTTTACTGTCCCAATGTGTGTATACGTGTGTTCTCTTTTAGGATGGCGTTTCATTCTTGTCGCCCAAGCTGGAGTACAGTGGCGCGATCTTGGCTCACTGCAACCTCTGCCTCCTGGGTTCAAGAGATTCTCCTGCCTCAGCCTCCCAAGTAGCTGGGGTTACAGGAATGCACCACGACCGTGTTATGCAGCCTGTTCTTTGTTGCTTTTCTGGGTAAAAGTGCTAATACTCTACTCTTTCATTGCCCCAGCACTTTCCTTTTATATAAAGTTACCTGTGATTGTATGAATGGAGTCAAGTGGAGAGGTACTCATCATGTTAATCCCAAACAAGAGCACGTAGGCAATTACTATAGTAATAAGGAGGTAGACAGGTAATGCAACTGCCCAGTATCTGCCAAAGAGAATATTAAAGTACATAATAGACACTTTAAAAAAGCTGTAATTCTCAAGAGTCAGTCACAAAGCCAACACGTTTTTTAAATTTAAATTTTATAAAGTTATACTTGTACATAGAGACAAATAGTTTCACTTATAATGAAAAAGTGCAGTCCTCTATCCCACCATCTCAACCTTGGAGTCTCATTCTCCAAAAAGAAATGCTTTGAGCACTTGAGCTGTCTTCTGGTACCTACCTCCTCATTGTTACAAAACATGCGCATAGTACTATTTCTTCATTTTTTCCATTACAGACATTTTCTCTAGACTTGCTAATATGGAGATGAGGAATTAACCTCCTCCTATCCTCTTCTCTTCTATACTTACATCACAATTTCTCATTATAGCAGCAGGTTTTAGAAGTAATTGTAACTATATAAACAAGTTTGTAATGAAGATCTCAGTGCATTATTATTATATATTTTCTTGCACAACATTTTGGGTTTTTTTCTAGAATAATTACATCTTTTTGTCCGTTCACTTGGTTTTCCATGTGTCCACCAATACCAGAGCCTCAAATTCTCTGACAGGACTCTATTATGCCTCTCAGTATCATTATGTACATGGAGTGCTATTTATTTATTTTTTTTGAGAAAGCATTTCCCTCTGTCACCCAGGCTGGAGTGCAATGGCACAATCACGGCTCACTAGCCTCAACCTCCTGAGCTCACTTCAGCCCTGCAAGTAGCTGGGACTATAGGCACACACCACCACGCCTGGCTAATTTTTAATTTTTTTTGTAGAAATGGGGTCTTAAGATGTTGGCCAGGTTTTGTTTTGTTTTGTTTAATGATTTGTTCTCTATTATTTTCTCTTTCTGGAACTTCTAATAGTTAGATTTTTAACCATTATACTTTCTTCTGTGTTCAATTTTTTTGTTCTAATTTCTAGAGATTACCTTTATTTTCCAATCTTTCAATTAAAATTTTAATTATCATGTTTACAATTTCCAAATACAATAATTTCCTGAACATTCCTTTTCCATAGCATTTTCTTCTTGTTTCATAGTTATAATTCTTTCTTACCTCTTTGAGAATTTTATGTTATTTAAAATTTTTTTTCTGTTTCCTGCATTATCTCTATTTCCTTCAAATTCCCTTTACTTTTCTGCTTTTTCAATTCATGCTAGAGGCTTTATTTTAATGTCTGGTAACTTAGAGTAGTCCATTCATATTTAAAAATGAAGTGCTAACAAGTGAGTTGGAGCACTATCTGTATGTGGGCAGGGATGGTCAACTGGTGAGCCTCACTCTAAGAGACTTGGCCACTTTACTGGGGTCCTCTAAATGTCAGAAATTATAGATCCTTTCTCTTGGGCTGGTCAGCTTCCTCAGGAAATGACTATCTATCTTTTTCTGTAAGGAGTAGGGTCTATAAGCCTGGAAGTCCCAAGAGGGAAGATGGAGGAGGATGTAAACCTTCTCATTAAGCCATGCAGATTTCACTTACTTCCCTGTTTTCAGTAAGATGCCTCATTCCCACACTCAGACTAAGAAGCCCCCATGCTAGAGACTCTTACTCAACCTTGCCAGAGAGTAAAACTCCTGTTTTCTGCAGGGGAGGGCAGGGCAGGTCTCCCAGCTTTGAGGGATGAGAGAGGGAGACTTCAAGGCTGAAGCCTTTAAACATGTTTTCAGTCTAACCCAGAATTAAAGAGCTACCTGGTACCCCAATGTCTGAGCTATTCTGGAGTTCTAGGGCACAAATATTCTTGCTGGCTTCACTACTTCAGCAATGTGAAAATCACAGAAACAAAGGCAGTTACTTCTCACCTATCACAATCCACTTTCCAAAATGTGGTTGATAACTCTTTTCTGCTATCCTATTGTTTCTGTGGTTTATATCTTGTTTTTTTTTTTTGTTTGTTTTGTTTTTTTCCTGTAGGGTCATTTTAAAAAGATTTTTGGAGGAAATGGATGGAGATAAACATGCATGTTCATGCTACCATCTTTAATTAGAGAGGTATCAATAGCGATCTTTAAAAAGCTTTCAATTTCGATATGGCTATTGATGAATTTTAGGAGAATAAATATTTAAGATTTGGATAGGTTTAAGAAAGTATATGATTCCTCAAAATAGCATTAATTATATCCTCGTTTAAGAAATACATTAAACTTACTTTTGAGGCCAATAGGTTAAACCTAAAGAGTTTAGCCAAGATTCAGGAATAAAGGCCCACACGAGGTAAAGTACTGTAGAAAAGAAAAGAAAAAAAAAAAGAAAAAAAAAGAGGGACGAGTCAGTAAGACATATATCTAATATATTAATCTATTAAGATTCAGATAAAACAGAAAGCTCTTTTGAAGTGTCCCTGATTCACAAATGATTTTTTCCTCCTCTCAGTTCTTCTAGCTCCTTCTTTGTACAATTCTTATAATACTTATAATTACTGTATAAGTCATTTTTTTAAATATCTTAACTTTCACACTATATTTTAAGCAATTCAAGGACACAAATCACGACCTAGCAATTGTTGTAATCCTTATTACCTAGCAATTTGCTTTATGTGCAGTAAGTGTTCAATACTTCATCCCCACAAGGTTGAAGTAATTATAGACATTTAGTTGCTCAAAGGGAAATTTACCTATCCTAGTTCTCATCCACCACATGTTGAGCTTCTGCCTTATCTCCCAGAGTACAATGTTATTTTCCTTAATCCCAAATCTCTGCGGCACTCTTTACTGTTATCCCACCATAACAACAACAATGGCTAAGTTCTGACCACTCACTGGGTTAAGCACAGTTCCAAGCATTCTGTACCCATTATTTAAGATAATCTTCCAAGACAATCCTCTGAGGCAAGTACGCAATTTTAACTGATGAGGAAATGGAAGCTTAGAAAGGATTCATCACCTACCCAAGGTAAGCGGCAGAGACAAATTTTAACTACCTACTACATCAGTGATGATGCATTCTTTTCTTAATAAATATGTATTACAGAATTCTGTATGTCAGGAGTGTGAGACACAATATTGAGTCCAAAAGAGATGGCTTCTGCCCTCCCTAAACTTAATACCTAGTGGTGAATAGAGAAAATTGATATTTCCACTACATTGTGATAAGTGCTCATGAATGAGTAATAAAAGATGACGGTGGCTCACGCCTGTAAGCCCAGCACTTTGGAAGGCCGAGGCGGGCAGATCACGAGGTCAGGAGATCGAGACCATCCTGGCTAACATGGTGAAACCCCATCTCTACTAAAAAACACAAAAAGCCAGGCGTGGTGGCGGGCGCCTGTAGTCCCAGTTACTCGGGAGGCTGAGGCAGGAAAATGGCGTGAACACGAGAGGCGGAGCTTGCAGTGAGCCGAGATCGCGCCACTGCACCTCCAGCCTAGGCGGCAGAGCGAGACTCCGTCTCAAAAAAAAAAAATAAATAAATAAATAAAATAAATAAATAAATAAATGACACAGAAGCACATTAAAAGGCCCTCCTTCCACTCCGTATCCTCCTTCCCCTTGCTTAATTTCTCCCCATGGTACTTTATCACCTGATACTGTATACGTTTTTCTTATTTAATTTGTCCATTGACTATCTCCCCCCAGCGTTAGAATAAAAACTCTATGAAAGCAGGGCATTTTTGGCTGTTTTGGTCCTTCCTAGCCTGTAACAGTGCCTGGCACATGGTAAGCACCAATAAATACTTGAATTACTTTTTGGTTGTGTGTATCATGGAATTTAATTTTTTTTTTTTTTTTTGAGACAGAGTTTCGCTCTTGTTGCCCAGGCTGGAGTGCAATGGTTCGATCACCGCAACCTCCCCCTCCCAGGTTCAAGCGATTCTCCTGCCTCAGCCTCCCAGAGTAGCTGGGATTACAGGCATGCGCCACCATGCCCTGCTAATTTTGTATTTTTAGTAGAGACGGGGTTTTTCCATGTTGGTCAGGCTGGTCTCAAACTCCCGACCTCAGGTGATATGCCTGCCTCGGCCACCCAAAGTGCTGGGATTACAGGCGTGAGCCACTGCGCTGGCCAGAATTTAAGTCTTAAAGTGATTGCTTTTATTTATTCATATAGCTTCTAATCCTTGACACATTCTTTGAACAAGGATTTACGAAAGTTGCTAACAATAACATCAGTAGCTAACACTTAAGTCCTTAACCGTTCCTAGGCATTATTTTACATGCTTTACATAAATTACCCCGGTTAATCCTCACAACAGTCAGAAGAGGCAGCAGAGTGAAGTCAGTCGGTGTATTTGGGTTCAAATTTAGAGGCCTATCATTTAGTAGCTTTGCAATCTTGAGTAAGTTACTGAAACCACAGGATGCTCATCTTTAAAGGACAATAATAACAGAACCTACCCCATAGAACTGTTTCATGTGTCATAAGCATTTAATAACCATCATTATCACTAACCTTTTACAGATAAGGAACCTGAGGTTCAAAAAATTTGCTGAGCGTCCCAGCTCACATGGGTAATCTGTGGAGGAGTCAGAATTTGAACTCAGTTGTAACTTCTTCACTTCATTTCAATTGTAACAGCCTGGCCATTACATTCATCTGCAAGCTGTACTGATGGTGCAGGCTGATATATTTTAGTTAGGGTTCAGAAGTACTACCACTCCTCCACTTTCCTAGTTTCCAAAGAGTTGCAAAACGCTGGATCAGGGGCACTCAATTTTCTCCCTCTTGTGTGCCTCAAAATTCCCAAATCCTTTTGGGGAGAGACTTGGGGCTTGCTGTGTGACTGAGCATACTAGTGTCTCAGTGAGCGTCAGTCTCCGTATCTGTAAAACGGAACGTTATGGGGATTAAGGGAGATCCAGGACGAAAAGGACACACCTTTCAACCTGACTTCTCTGGGCTACTTCTTTTGTTCCCCAGATCCCCACAGGGCACACTGGTGCCATACCAAGCTCCTCGGGTCCAAACCCTCTCACGCCCTCATTCACGGCCTTTCCACGTCGTCCCTCTCTCCTACTCTTTTCTAACCAGCATCAGTGCCAGGGGGAAAGGCCTCTGTAAAAGCCTTGATTTTCCAGTCTGGTTTCAATGTCTCTCCACCGTGCTCCCCTGACACTGAGCACTAACTGTAGATTTACTCATCTGTCTCCTCCACAAGACCACGACCTCCTTAAGGGCAGGGACCAGGCTTTATTCACTTTGCCATCGCGTCTGGCGCTGTATAAATATTTGTAGAGACTAAAACCTCCTAGGCTAGTGCTGGCACACAGAACACTCAACAAACACGAGTTCCCTTCAGATTCTCTTAAAAAGAGACATAGGGAGAAAGAATCAACAGTTCATGTGTACACAGTCTAACCAATGGATTCTTCCCTTGTCACTGAACGCCAGAAAAAGCCCCTGGCCATCCATCAGGAAAGTACTTACTGAAGCCAAACTGGGAGCTTAAGAAAAGAACAAAGCCATAAATCGCTCTTTCTGGCAATGGCGACGGTGAATTTTCCACCATTTTTCCTGGGGCTTTAGACAACCTGTGGAAAAGGAACACAATCAGCCATCAGCGAGGTGCTCCCCGGCACCATTGGTCCATTCTCGCCCCATCGCTCCGCCGCGGGCACGGCCCCCGCCGCACAGAACCGCCTCCCGCGCCCCCGTCCGCAACCCGCGCCTCCGCCTCGCGCGCACACAGGCACCCAGGCTGGCGCGCGCCCCGCAACAGAAGGGGTGGCGGGGGATAGGGCAGCGAGAGGGGCTCGGGGGGACAGAGGCGCGCTCCAGCTCTGCCAGCGTGGTCTCCCTGTGGGAGGGGAGGGCAGGGAACAAGGCTCGCGCGGCGCCCACCAGCACGCGGGCCTGCTGGGTCGCGGCGCCCAGGCCCCGGGCCCTGCCCACTCGTGGAGATTTATATTTCTCATTCGAGGCAGGGTATGGGGGGGCCCTCGACCTCGGGTCCTTCGTACGCCCACCCGGGCCCCTCTCGACACCTCGGCCACCTCAGCGCTGAGTTCTCTGCGCAAGGGCCGACCAGGCGCCGCAGTGGGGGAGAAAAGAGGAAAACCTGAGGGAAAGGCCTAGGCGCAACGACACCCCCCACCTTGGCGCAGGCGCACGAGGACCCTCCCTGGGTGGGAGCCGGGAGGCACGAGGCCGGCGTGATCCCGCGAATCGCCACGGCGAAGGAGGGGGCGGTGGGGTGCGACTGCGCAGGCGCGCTGCCCGCCCACGTGATGCACCTCCCTTCAGCGCAGCCGCCCACTCCCTCCCGCCGTCGGCTGACGTGGAGGGCCGGAGGTGCCGGCTGCGGCGGCAGCGGCGGCGGAGGCTGCTGCCTGCGCCGAGGCTCGCGGGCGGCGGGCCCGGGTGAGTGCACACCCGGCGCGCGGCCGGGCTCCCGGATGTGTCACCTTGTCCCGCTGCAGCCGAGATGCCGGGGGAGTGGGGCATTCCACACCCCCTCCGTGGGTGTGTGGTGAGTGTGGGTGTGTGCGCGTCACCCCGCGTTCCTCGCTGCGGTGCCCGCTGTGTGTCTGCATGGGTTGGGGCCCCGCGCAATGAGGGGGTGTGGCCGCTATTGCCTGCCCCAGTGGGTTTGTCCCCTTGGTCTGGTGCCCTTTTGCGAGCGAGGCCCTGGGATGCCGGAGAGAGGGTGGGAGTAGTCGCTTTGTGCGCATTCCCCCGCTGCCCGTGCCTCGGCCGGTGCGTGGCTGACACCCCCTGCTGGGTGGAGGGGCCCGCGCTCGCGTGTCGCCTCGTGGCCCCCTTTGTGTCGGTGTCCGCGCTCCCTGGCGGCTGCGGGGGCGCTCTCGGCCTCGCGGGTGGCCCCCCCTTTGTGTCACTGCCCATGTCTGTGGGCTGCGCGTTCCCCAGCGCGCGTGGCCGCGCCTCCTGTAATCGCGACCCCCGCCTAGAGCCTTGCTCGCGCGAGTGTGCGTCCTCGCGTGTCTCTGAGTGTCCCCAGAGTGTCTGCGCATGGGTTCTGTCGAGTGCGTGATCTCATGTGTGCGGGTTTAGTTTTGTCGAGTGGGTATCTCTTGTGTGCGGGTTTCGTTGGTGCGTGTTCGTGAACGTTCGTGCACATCCCTTGCTGTGTGTGCGTGTGTTCACGACTCTGTTGTCACCTGTTTTCGTGTGAACTGGCAGTCCAGTCCAGGGCCTGTCCCTACGGAACGGACCCAGGAGGGGGGTAACCTCGCCGCTCCCCTCGCCCCCGCGCCTCTTTCTGAGCATCTTCCCCCACAGACGCTAAAGGGAAGGGGGGTGGACAGGATCGAGTCTGGCGAGTTGCTCCGCAGTGTTGACGCTGCCAGTTGCTCCGCAGTGTTGACGCTGCCAGTGTGGCTTTTTCAGCCAGCCTGTTCAGGGCACAGAATAGAGGGATCAAAGATAAAAAATGGAGCCGAGACAGGTGAATTTGGGCTGGTACCAGTTCGCCGTGCCTTTTCAAACAGAGGCGCCCTGGACGTCAGAACCCCCTCAGTTGCAGAGACCTTTCAAAATATATGCACACGCCTGCTGGGCGATGCTGTCCTTAGCCGTTCTTGATGATATTTAATGGTTTATAGAGTATTTTATGGCATTCACCTAAATCGCTTTCCATTTTGCCCAACATCCTGGCGAGGGAAACGAGGTAGAAATCTTACAGATTTTACTCCTGCGGAGGGAGCGTTTTCCTTATAACTACGACTCTAGTTACGACATTTTTTTGTTGCAAGAAATTTGCGATTTATGCTAAGGAAAATGGGATATATTATAAGGATACCTAGGGTAAGAAACTTCAAACCCATTAGGGAACCAGCTACTGCTCCGTTTGCTCAAGGTTTCATGCTCTGCCGCAAGGGCTGCGTTTTGGTGCCTTTGTTCTGCCCAATTTTCTTATTGTCTAATTTTCCTTTTTTTTTTTTTAATTTTTGAAATATTTCAAATATCAAATACAGAGGGGGGAGCTAACCAATCCGTGATTCAGATTTTACAGACGTGATTATTTAATATTTTGCCAAATTTACTTCAGATTTTTTTTTAAAGAAATAAAATTGCTCTCAGTTCCTTCCCCTCCTTTTCTAGAGATAGCCACTGCGTTGAGGTTTGTGTATATCTTTACTCTGCATATTTTATACTTTGATCATGGTGAATCCACACACAATATATTCTATTGTTTTTAAACTTTAATGGTATTAAAATATACATGCCTTTTTGCAACTTGCTTTTTTTTTTTTTTTGCTCAGCATCATATTTTGAGGTTGATGTATGAACAAATTGAATAACTGTGATATCTTTGGTTCATTCATTTTAATTGCTGGTATAGAATTGCATTGTATGAATATACCATATTTATTTATACATTCCGCTGTTGATAGACTTTGAACTTGTTTCGGTTTTTGACTCTTAAAAACAGTCCTGCAATAAATATCTTTGTACTTGTCTGCTTGTGCACACATTTGGAAGTTTTCTGTAGGAAATACAACTAAGTAGTAGATTTGCTGGATTGTAGGCTATGTGCATCTTCAACTTAACCAAATATCACAGAAGCTCTCGAAGTGGTTGTACCAATTTTCACTGTCACTGGTGTTGAGTGAGAACACCATTTCCTCACAATCCTGCTAACACTTTATATGTTATTAGACTTTACATTTTTGCCGTCTCTTTACTGACCAGCTTCCTTACGACTTTTGGTTGCTGCTAAATTTGCTCGTAGCCACCTTGGCTTCTTTTGTAGCCCTGTGTCAGCCTGTGGATTTATCTCTTGCAGCTAATTGGCTTAGTCTTTATCTCCTTTGGTTCTCATAAGAGTAATTCCAATGAACATTTATTGTATACCTAATGCATGTCAGTTCCTATGGTTGATGTATAGATAGAATTTTCATGATATGTTAAATATGTACCTCTTTAGTGGCAGATGAGGTGATTTAATTATAAGTATTTTTTTCATATGATGAATGTTTAAAAAAAATTTTCTTTTCCTCTCCATTTTATTGTAGTATTTGATAAATTCAAAATATATGTAAAACATATGCAAGCTGTATAGCAAAACAATAAAATGAACATCTATGAATTCACCACTCAATCTAATTATCAAAATGACCAATATTGAATGTGCTTACTTCCAGAGGTGACTACTATCCTGAATTGTGTATATCATGCCTTGTTTTTAAAAATGATTTTATCAGATATGTATACATCCCTCAAAAATGTATTGTATGGTTTCTGTTGTTTTTGAGTGGAAAAAATCATATTGGGTATAGTTTTCTGGGACTTGCTTATTTCACTTGATGTTATGTTTCTGAGTTACCAATATTGGGTATAGATGTAAGTCATTAATTTTCACTGCTGTGTAATATTCCATGTGTGAATATAACACAGTGTGTGCATTCTTCTGTTGATGGGCATTTTGGTTGTTTCTCGGTTTTGCTGTTATGAAGATTCTTGTACATACTTTTTGGTTCACAGTTGTAAGAATTTCTCTAATTTTCACACTGGGGTATATGAGCCCCAGAGTAGTAATGAAGATTTGCTAAGGAGTGTGTGGGTACAAATAATGTTAATGAATCAGTTTCTAGATCATTACATTCCATAGGTACACTTTCCTAAAATTGGTAATGCCTGCGGCTTCCTGCTAGTGCTACTTTCTCACCTTATGTTTCTGACGTTGCACTTTACATAAGAAAGGCAAACCACAGGTTCTTGTGGAATCTTGCTGTGGCACTGCCCTAAGTGGGAAAATTCCCTTGGGGAGAACAAAGGGATAATTTTTTTTTTTTTTTTTTGAGTGGAGTTTTGCTCTTTTTGCCCAGGCTGGAGTTTAATGGCACGATCTCAGTTCACTGCAACCTCTGCCACCCAAGTTCAAGTGATTCTCTTGCCTCAGCCTCCCAAGTAGCTGGGATTACAGGCGCACACCACCACACCCAGCTAATTTTGTATTTTTAGTAGAGACGGGATTTCACCATGTTGGCTAGGCACGTGTTGAACTCCTGACCTCAGGTGATCTACCCGACTTGGCCTCCCAAAGTGCTGGGATTACAGGCTTAAGCCACTGTGCCCGGCCTACAAAGGGATACTTTAAAATGTTAGGGAAAGCCTCTTTTAATCCTGGCACTTCCCCATCCATTTCCTTAAGAGATACATTTCCAATAAAGTTTCATTTTTTATATTATCAGGGTATATTTTTTGGCCAACCATATGCTGGTAATAATTATACATTTAAAAGAATGAGATATCAGTTTTACTTTAAAATGTTACTGTGATATTCTAGAAAGTCAAATTCACCCTTTGCAATTATTTAATCTAATAGTGATATTTTTAAAATGTCACCTTAATGGGTAAAGGGTATGTAATTTTAAAAAGCACTTTTAGTGGTTGGTGAGCAAAAAAAAAAAAAAGGGAGGGGGATGTTGGAATACCACCATGTTAATTTGTTCAGCAGCAAAAGCAAAAGAAAAGAGAAAGAAATACTGCCATACCACTATAGTAAGCTGTTTGTTAGAAATGGGATTGCTAGATCAAGAGGTATGAATGATCAGCTTTACAAAATAATGTCAGATTGCTTTCTGAAGGGGTGGTATCAGTTTGTACTTTGGCCAGCAGTTTTGTCTGTTTATATACTTTGATCAACAGTGTGTAAGAGTTACAGTTGATCTACAACCTCTCCAACACTTGTTATTGTCAGACTTAGTATTTGCCAATGGAATGGGTATGAAATGATGCATTGTGGTTTTAATTTGCATTTTTTTGTTATTAATGAGATTGAGCATCTTTTGTATGTTTATGAACTGTCTTTGTTTCCTTTTTATGAAATATCTAGTTATATATTTTACCCTTTGTTCTGATGAGTTGTCTTTTAAAAAGGATAAACTGGTAACATTGATTATGTGCATTGTAAATATCTTCTGGTTTGTGGCCTGTCTTTCTACTCTTTATGGTATATTTTGGTGAATAGAAGTTCTTAATCTTATCATAATCTAATTGGAACCTTTCTTGCCTTGGGCTTATAAAGACATTCCTCTATTTCTTTTTAGAGGTTTTAAAATGATATCTTTCGCAATTAAGTTCGTAATTCATCCGGAATTGATTTTTGTGTATGTTGTGAGATAGTGATCCACATTCATTTTTCCTGTGTGGTTCTAATTATCACCAGTGATCTGCTGTGCCATCCT